ACTGGGCCGAGGTGGGAACCCCTTTGCTCGCGTATGTCAATGCGCGTCATTCGATTTTCAGATCGGGACCCTACGCCTGCAGCTAGTATCATCTCGTTATACATTTCCTCCATGGACCGCATTTGTGTGCGCATTGCCTCCATTTCTCTCTGGAGTGCGTCAAAGTTCTCACTTGGTGGAGCCGGGGCTGGCCCCCGGGCGCCCTTCTTAGAGGTCCCACCTCGGCCACGGGTTGCCTTGGATGTCCTTGGGTGCGCAGGTGGTAGGACAGGCGCGGTGATTCGTGCCGACCTGCGGAGGGGTTCTGTTGCTAGGCCGTCGTGACCTTGCCCCTCTACCACTGCTGCTCCGACCTCCCTCTGGTGGGCATTGCTAGCAGCTAGAGTCCTTCGATCTGCCGTATTGGTCGAGTTTGCTGGTTGAACCATTTTCGCTCGCGTATTGGTTTAAAAGGATTGGGATGACTTAGATTGTCGTTTCCCACAGACGGCGCCAAATGTTTATGCAAGGATATGCACAACAGTGTATTTCAGATTACAGCTCGAACTCGGCCTCCGGACCGATCTGAATACTTGGGCGGACCTGCACAAAAAGGTGAGCACTCCTACGATCAAGTCAGTATAGGTCGGATTCCCAGTTTAGTTCGAGGTCAGAAATCATCGTACCTGATCGTGGAGTGAAGCCCTCTACTTATGGGTGGTAGTCCCGCTAATCTCGCGACGGTTACACCCGGTAATCTCGGGACCGAAGGTTATACCCGATAATCACGTCGTTGACAGTAGCTCACATCGGCCCCCACCGAGCTTCCTGGTAGGTCGGACCTCGGCCAGGTTCACCTCGGCCCTCATACTTAGCATCTGTCAACGCTAGTGGTGGTGATCTCGGCGGTCCGAGCTGAGGCATGACTCATGGTCATCTTGGGGCACCAATGGCTATCCTCCACGTGTCCAGGGTATTCTTTCCCCCAAACAAACTACATGGGTGGTTTCCCTGGATTTGGTTTATTTGGATCCAATAGAAGTATGATGTCTAACCTTTTTGGGGAGAGGGATCCATTTGATGATCCCTTTTTCACTCGCCCATTTGTTAGCATGTTGAATTCGGGCTTATCTGGTTCCCGTTCCACTGCGTATGATAATCAAAAGAAAGATGGGGGAAAGGGACTTGTGATTCAAGAAATTTCCTCTGATGAGGAGAGGGAGGAAGATGATGGCCTTATGGGTCAGAGACAGGACAAGAATCAGATGAATTCTGGGTCAGGCAAGGCGCCATCCGTTGAGCATCCGGATGATACCAGTGATGGTAATTGAGCTATGATTTTGATGTTCTTTATTTCTCTTGGTTTCTATGTGACCTTGTTATTCTAATTTCTCTTCACTTCGTTTATCTCGTTGGTTGATGTTCTAGAGCGCCAGATCGTGACTCATAGAAGTAGTGAAGATAGCAGTTTTGGAGTTCAGCCAAAGGCTAGTAAATCCAGTATGCATACTTGCAAGGTCACTTTTGGTGGTGTAGATGGAGCATATTACACGTCTACTAGAACTAGAACGACAGATAATGAGGGAGTAAGTCAGAGTCTTGTGGAATGGCTGTTTACTTTCTCAATAAATTATTGGGTTTGATAACAGGTTCTTGTGAATCAGGTGTTGCTTGAAGAGACGAAAGAAGCGGATAAGACGACGGGCCAGGCCATTCATAGGATCTCTAGAGGAATTCATGATAAGGTATAGATTGAAGATGAAACTCTGACACATTAAGGACCATATAATTGTTTGACATCACTGTATCTCTAGAGCTCGTTTGGTAACGTTTCTTGTTTATGTTTCTTTATTTTTAATGAAGAAAAATGTATTGCATGGTTCCAACCTCTAAGAATTCAAGTATGATAAAACAATCTTTTTATTTATGTTTTGGAATAAATTGGAAATGGAAACTAAGAAAGGAGAAACTAGTTTTGGTTGTTTCCAAAATTTCAATACAATTGTGAGAATGTTCCCAAAAAAATGAGAAACAAGAATCAAAGTTAGTTGAAAAATACTTAGTTTCTTAACAAAATTGGGATCGAGAAATAAGAAACGAGAATGTTACCAAACGAACCTTATGTGTCTTGACCTTAATCATATTTGAGTTGGCATTGAATCCATGGAAATCTGGAAAATTCTGAAAATGTGCTCTTAAAATCGTTTTGGGTGCTTGTTGGTATTGTTAAATCATGTAGCTTATATGATCAACTGTTGGAAATGGAAGACTTGTTTCTTTTCTGAGAGTGTGATATTATTCTCAGCACTGAAGAGATCCCATTGGTGGAGTTTTGTAAATATGTCATTTAAACTTATATTCAGCGTGTGAGAACAATTTCTTACTATGTTTGTAATCTTTTAATGAGAACGTTGTGTTGCAAGCTTCATTGTTGGTGTAATTTTCCGATATTCGTTTTGTAACCTCTTTTTTTTTTTTGGAATAAAGTTTATAACCTTTCTTGCTGGAGATAATTCTGGGAAATAGAAAAGTGGAATCTAAAACAATTGAATTGCTTGTGCAGGGTCATTCAGTTACTAGGAAACTGAACTCAGATGGTAAAGTGGACACGCTGCAGACTCTGCACAATCTGAATGAAGGTCTTCTCTGTCTTCTCTGTCTGTTTTAATCATGATTTCCATATCGGTACTTCGTTTTCTTTATGTACAAGCAATAACATGGTGTCGCAATATTTTTCTACAGAAGTGCTTGCTGGTTTTGACCGAGCATGGAAAGGTAATTTTCAAGGGCATAAACATGTTCCAAGAGGTGGATTTCATACTGATGGCAATGCAGGTAATTTGGTTCTTTGCTTTTTAAATGTCATTTTTTGTTTCATTCACTCTAACCCCCTGGTGAACATCATCGTTTCCATTGCCTTATAAAAGAAACACCATTTTCTTAATAAGTTTTCCCATGATATCTTATGGCGTCGTTCGGTTTGACTTTTGAGTATGTGTGTGTTTTTTTTCTGGTTCAACAACATGCGGGTGTATAGGGTTTTTAGGCAACAAATATCCCACTTGTGAAAGGTGTTCCAAGTGCTATAAAGAGGCTGATGACTTTGAGTCTTAATTCATCTCAATTAGAAACACTTCAAACTTAGTCTACTGATTTAGTTGTGTGAGTGGTATAAAGCTTTGAGAGTTTTTTTTTTTTCTTTTTTTTGTAATTGGGGTCGAGGAAATAATTTTATGTCATTGTAATAACTTTAACATAGTGAATTTTCTTTTTGTTAAGTTAAAACGACTGGAGTTTTTTCATGTAAATTCTTGTATTTCTTTAACGTTGTTATTTTTCTTTCTACAGTTATTTTATGTTTGTTCCTACTATAGAAATAGGGGTTTTTTCCCTTTAGGATCGAACCTTGGATTTTTGGTCAATGATATATATTTCATTTGAACTATGTTTAGGTTGCCTTTTGAATAAGTTATTGAAATGAAAAATTATTTCATGGATGATACGAAATTACAGAAGAGGGATCAAAGCCCCGAACCAAAACTAGTGCATCCCATTAGCCATTACATCTTTGAAAAGCATATACATTTTGCTGTGTATCTTTTTCCACACTTTGTATACAAAATATTTTCATGGAACTTCATCTGCACTTTGGTCTCAGCCATCTAACTGTGACAATATCAACAATGCAGAATCTAATGGCAGTAGAAACAGAGAGATGAGCAGTTGGGATTTTCCATCTTTTGGTGGAAGTAGACATGAACATGATGGTTCAAGACATATCTCTGGTGCTGGTACAACCAAAAAAGTAGTGAGGATCAACATAGATTAAAACGCGATGCAATTGCAAGATATGTTGTGTATGAAGGCAAGTACATACCACCGTCTAAAGGAATTATAGTTTTTTTTTTATATTCGTGTGTCCCGACCAGCATGCATCTAAATGGGTCATCTACTTCATGTAAACCAAATACATTTGGTTTCAACTTAAAGGAATGATAGTTTTTACGAGCATATCTTTTTGGACTGTGAGGAATTACAAAGGACACTGGCCACTTTGTTCTGCTGCCTCTATATTCTACAGGGCTATGCTCTTTATAATATTTAGCGCCTTTTGGAAATTTTTTTTTTTTCTGTTTTTAAAAATTGTGTTCTTTCTAATTCTAAATTCGTTTTCAAATATCTACTTGAAAGCTGAGTTTAATTTAATAAATTTTTGTTTTTCTAATATTAGGCTAAGATTAAGAACTGTTCCACAAGGAGAGAAACCAAATAAAAAAAAAATTATACCTTTAATATTTAAAAAGGGAAAATTGTAAAACCATCATTAGATTGACTATTTACGAGTTATGTAAGAAAATTTGTATAATCAAATTTTATGTTAAAAAATTAAAATGAGATGGTTATTGAATGAGTTATGGTTATTCTTCTCCTTTTTCCACACTATCGATTTTTTATTTTATAAAAATGTTAAATTTATTATTTATCAAAGTTATGCAGTAATAATCAAAACTGTCAAAAATTCGAATCTTGATCCTGTGGCTGAACTGATAAGAAAAAAAAAAGCTTAAGATTAATAAGTTTCTATATATTTCTCTTCAATATTTTTCTTTTTTAAGGGAAAAAAAAATCAAAATAAGCATCTGAACAATTTCCTTCAATTATCGTACATTCAATTACTTCATACCTATAAATAACCCTAGGAAATCATAATCTCAATTCCTTTTTGAACTTTTTAGTTTAGTTAAATTTTTTACTAAAACGGTCTAATTAAGTTTTTAAAAACTAAATTACATGATTTGTAAAATATACATGATATAATTAATTACGTTATTTAGAAAACAGAATGTACAGAAAAAACCTTACTCTTGTACTTAGATTTATTCATATACGTGGATGATATTAATATTAACATGTAATACTTTTTGTATCAAAATATTAATGACGTAATCAAAGCCATTCAATTTATTCGGGTTAGTCCGACCGGGCTTTCCGTAATTCCGTTTGAACCGGTTCAGATTCGCTCCCGGTACACGTGTTCTTCACCGGATCGTTCATCGACGTGCCTCATCCAACGGCTAGGCTTGCTCGTCGAGATCGAGCCGCCACCATCCGACGACCCCACATGAATTATACTCAACCCCTGGCCCACCGGTAAACTCACTGATTTGACGACACGTGTCCCCCTCGGGAGGAGCCCACAGTAACCGAGCTTCGAGAAGCTTCTAGACCACGTATTTTTACATACCAAAATTGCCCCTTTGTTGCTCACCTTGGTGAACCTCAAAACCCTAGCGAAATCCCTCCGCTTACAATCCACCACCAGAAAATCCACTCCGACCACCGCCGCCATCGCCGCCTCTCCGACCACAACCTCCGCCGGCGGCAAAACGCCGGCATCTTGCAAGCACTCCACGTACTCCGATTTCGACCGCTCGTCCGCCACCGCACAAACGTACCGCCCGCCGGTGTGCCGCGCGGCCACGGCGAGGCCGACGGTGGTGACGGAGGAGGCGACGCCGGCGGAGCAAGCGTGTACGATGAGTTTGGCGTTCCAGCCGGCGGCCATGGCGGAGAGAAGTTCGGCGACGCCGAATTGTTCGAAATCGCCGCACTGATCGTCAGATGAACAGGTAACCGTTACAGAATTCGAAATTAGAAAAGAGGCAAAATCAAATTACAGTTCGATCAGAAGAAAACGAGAAGAATTTGATAAAACTTACGGATTTAATGGTGTCGATGTAAGCTTTAGAAGCAGTTTCTGGAGACCAAACGAGCTTCATTCTTCAATTTTCTCTGTTTCTCTGCTTTTTCTTTTTCGCCTGAGAGATTTGGTTTTATATGGAGAGGGAGAGAGGGACTTGACAACTGCCGTACGAAAGGAAGAAGAAATTGAAAAGTTTTTTATTTTTATTTTTTTTTTGGAAATTGTTAGGGAAATTGAATTTTTTGTGTTGCCCAGTCCAATGCAGTGAACTGAAAATTTTTCCTTTGCCATTAAAAAAAAAAGTTTTCTTTATATTTCATTTTAAGCCGAATTCCAAAAAATACACTTTGATTTCACATTCTATTTCAAAAGTTTCAATATTAATTGGACCTTTTTTTAAGTGTCTTTTAGATATCTTTTAAGCATCTATTTATATTTATATGATAAATTGATATTGCAAAATTTAAAATGAGGAAGCTTGTCGAAGTTAAGTCTATAATAGAAGAAGTGTAGAGGAAGTTATATTTTTAGAGGGGGAAAAAAACAAAATTGAGTAGGCAACAGAAAAGCAAACTCAATTGATAGGGGAGGAAGAAGATTTTTTCGATAAAATTGAGTTAAAAATCCAAGTGCTTCTATTTGTGCACGGGACGGGTATTCAGGTAATGTTAAAACTTTTGAAATGATATTGGTGTGCTTGAAATAAAAGATAAAATTAAGGGACTTCTTTTTTATATATAATTTAACTTTCATTTTATTTAAATTTCGTCCACGTTTATTTTAATGGTTGAAGTTCTAAAAAGTAATACTTTTGAATTTGGAATTTTTAAAGTATATACTCTAGCCATTAAACTTTTTCTAGAAAATCATTTTTGCCCTTTCTCTTTTAATTATTATTATTTTATCATCTAATATATGGGGTTTTAACTTTTTGTTGCATTGTTTTGAAATATAAAATATGTATTTAATATACTTCATATGACATCACATTCATTTATATTTTAAGTCGTATGTGGTTGTATGATATATCGTGTATTAGGAATTATGCAAAAATGTTGAATATGTAAGAGTATAACTCAACTAATTAATTAAAATCATTAATAATCTCACTTAGATTGCAATGTTTGAATCATCATAAATCTCATTGTTTAAGTCAATTTGGTCATGACTTCGAGAAAAATAAAATACCTAATTGTTTTCTCAAGATGAAGGTTCAACGTAAATGACTGCGAAATGTAAATGTAGGGCGTGAGATTTAAACCATCGAACAGATCTTTTTTGTTGATGAAATTGACTAAAAATTTTAAATATTACATATTTGTTTATTTCTCAAATTTCATCATGTCAACTATTGTTTAAGCATGTTTTATTACAAAAAGCTCTCATTGTAGTAAAGATGGAACTTGTGAATTTAACCCACAAAATCTTGTTGAAGATTTTTCCCTTTTTGGGGTGTTTGGGAAATGTGGGGAATATGAAAGTTAATTTGAATTTTCTCTCCTCATTTAACTCATTGGAGGAATAAATTTATGGTTATTTTACCAAAATCTCACACTGATCATTGAATCTAAACTTAAAATTAGAGAGAGAGAGAGAGAGAAAAAAAGTAGCTACTTTAATGAAAATGACTACAAATTGATTATGTGCCATGTAAAGGGAAAAAAGAAAAGAAAAGAGATGATTTAAATCAACTTTTATATCCATTTGTGTTAGTTTTTGATAAGCTTTGAAATATTGTATATAGTTTGGTGCATCATAAATCTATGTGACATCGCCTAAATATTTTATTACATTTTATTACGGGGAGTTTAGGGCTTGTCGGGTAACGTTCCAATTTTTTGTTCCTCATTTATTGTTTTCTAAAGAAATCTAAGCATTTTTTCAACTAACTACGTTTTTTGTTTCTTGGAAACATTCTCAAAATTATACAGAAATTTTAAAAACAATCAAAACAAGTTTTTTATTTATTGTTCTCATTTCTAATTTGTTCCAAAACATAAATAAAAAGATTGATTTATCATACTTGAATTCATGAATATGTTAGAGCTATGCAATTCATTTTTCTTTATCGAACAAGCCCTTAACTTTTAAGGGAGGTACGTTTATATAGATAACTCGAACATAGTTCAATTTAATTAAGTAAAAATTTGAATCTTAATGCTGTATATATTATTGAATTCAAAAGGAAAAAAAATTGTATGCTGGTAGTTTATCAAAAAGAAAGAAGAAAAAAAAAAGAAAAGAAGTGTAAGTTGGTACAATCCAACATTGTCAAATTAATGGTTTGTTTTGAATATTTCAATTTTAAAATTAAAATTTTGTTAATCTTTTTTAGTACAACACGTGGGAGCGGAGAGGTTAGAGTTATAGATCAATTATCGTTGAGTTATGTTGACTTTGGAAGCTATTCCTTTTTTTTTTCTTTTGTACAATTACCGCTCAGCTATGCTAAGTAGCGAGCTATTCTTTAAGGCGCATAAAAATATTAGATGGAATAATAGCCAATTTTATTTTGTTAAAATTATAAGCTAAATAAAAAAATATAATTTTTTTTTTTGAAATAAAGCTAAATAAAAATATTTTAGCTTCTATTAAATTGTCCTTGATTTAAAGTGTGTGTAACTGAACATTTGTTTTCTACTTGAGTTTGTTTTATTTCAAATGTCTAGATTCATTGGCCTCACATACTCACATTTATAAATCATAGACTTCTAATATTTATATCAAAGATTATACAAAATTGAGTTTGTAAATTTGTATATTCAGTATTTTTTGTAATTCAAACGTAGTACAAAAGCTTCGATTTACTAATTTCCTACTTCGTATAATTCTATATACTTATGTTAATAGATAATCAATTATAATTATATGTCAAATTGAGTATAGTCTATGGATGAAGTTATTGAGTAATCTTTTTTCTACAGTTGAATAAAAGTATATAATTATTATATTAAAAATGATAAGATAATGGTTTAATGTATAACTAAAAGTATGTTGGTGTTGAATTTTGTCAACTTGAGAAAATTGGATTCTTCTCACCTGGACGAGCTAGAGGGCGCGAGCTATACGAGGAGATGCCTGCATAGAATGAACAAATACTCCAACACTTAAGTCAATAAAGAGTTCAACCTGAGTTAGTTCTCGGTAGGTTAGAGACACAGGAAAAACTCAGAGATCTGTCTAGCCATCTTAGATCTTCTGAACTACATAGGTCGGCCTATGCATTTAATGTGAAAATAAGTCTATCTACACGATATGACGTATTTTGGTGTTGGTCGACGTGACTGGTTAGATTTTGCCCTCCAACAAAGTAGATTACCCAACATAAGATTAGCTCAATGATTAAGACATCTTGTTTTTTTACGAGAGATTAGAAATTCAACCTCTCATCCTCACAACCATCATGGGTTGATCCATTGGTCTAAAGGGGCCAAGATAAATTCTAAAGAATTTAGAAGAATAAGTTCAAACTATAATAATCACTTACTCAGTATTTAATATCTTAAAAGTTTTCTTGGCAACGAAATGTAGTAACCAATCGAGGTATGCATAGGTTAGAACGGATACTCACAGTTATAAAAAAAGAAAAAAAAAACTATTGTCCCCACATTTGTTTTACTAAAATAAATATAAATAAAACTAGAAATATTAATAAATTTAAAGGTTTTTTATAAATATAATTAATAAATTAAAGTTGGTATATAGCTAAATATAAATATTATTTTTTTATCTTAAAATATTAATGTTCTTTTTTTAGTACAAAATATAAATATTCCTAGGTATGGCTATTTGGAGAGATGTTGGCTGTTTTATAATTTTGTTAATTATTACAACCTTACGTCATTAAATATATTTAATGACCTCACCATCATCCGTACGTTGAATCGTTCAAACCGGTACGGTACGGTACTTTAAGATTTTTTTTTTCTTATTTTATTAATTAATTAATTATTATAGTATACATCAAGATAAAATTTTGCAAGTCAATCTGAATTGTTTTTTCAAAGGAAATGACGACCGAGTGGATTTAATGTTTTGTTTGAATAAATATTTACATATATTTACTATATTTTAGTTGTAAAAATTATTATAAAAAAAAACAATCGACGGAACATGCAGTATCTTTTAGTATGGTAAATGTGAAGGTGAATGAATTAAACCTCCGAGCTCTAAAGAATAAATAAACTACCTTAATTAGGAAGGTTCATTTTTCTCGTGGAGACTCGTCCGGGACGAGAAATCCATCCTCATTTAGATTTTCTATGGGTAGGAATGGAGGACGGTTTTTTTTGTTACCTAAATGGGATGGTCTCCAACTCTGCCACACTTTTTTTTAATTCTCTTAAAAATTTTATTTAATTGATTAGCTAGTTTTGGACACAAGTTTTTTTTGGTATTGAGTTTTGAAGTTTTTTACCTGTTTGTTTTTATAGGTATGTCTCATTATTTTTGCGAGTATATTTCCATTTTTTTTATGTACAACACACAAGTTTTTTGAGCATGAACTACCACTCATGCAGCGGCAAAGACCGCAATTCTTGAAGAGGAAGAGGCCACCAACCATCCGAATGCAGCCTTCGAGGACGTGTACAAGAAGGTCTTTGCCGATTCCTATACGTGGGAATCGAATTCACAACCTCTTGGTTGGAGATATATGTCAATTACCGCTGAGCTATGTTYGCCTTGGCGGCGGGTATAYTTTTATGGCTTCATATGCAAAGTGTTTTATTGATTTAGTTTGAAGTATTTATTGTTAAATCACATTTTTCTAATCTGGCTTTAAGAAAAATATTAAATCCGTGGGACTTATTCCAGTTTAAGATTCAATTTGATAAAAATTAATAATTAAAATTAAATGAATTAGCTTGAAAATTTATAATGGTTTCTATAAACTGCTGTATGAAGAATTATGATAAAATGGTTTCTTTTGAGGAGTGAAAATTTCAACTATCGTCTTTTAAAACGATAATGGGTGATATATTGTGATATTAAAAAAATTATAACTTCCACTATTTATTAAAAAAGAAACAACTCGCACTCTGAGAATAAAATAAATAAATAAAAACTCTTTTTTAAAAAATTAAAATTATCTCCTAAGCATGGTTGGACAAATTTTATATTTTCTATTTATTTATTTTTTTTGAATCAACAGTAAATTAAACATCCTAAATAGTCTTTTTCAATCTTCAAAACTAATCAGAATTAATCAAAATTATTGGGTCCACAGCCAAATAAAAATTGTTTTGCTGAAGTGTAAAGATAAAAAAATATAAA